TATTTCCCCCCTTTTTTTTCATTTGTCTATTATTTTTCTTTGTTTTTTTCTTCATTTTGAACATATATATATATATATATATATATATAAGAATCTTAAGTTTTAATTTTTCGAAAGAATCATCCACGCTGATTTTTTTTATAAATATCACAATTTCGCCTATAAAATAATTTCTTAAGCAATTTTGTAGTGAAGAAAAGCAAAGAATCCTCATACCGGCTTCATCATCTATCAGTTTCATCCACAATCCTGAAAATTTCTTTTTCAGTTCAAATGATATTGTTTCATTCATTATCCGGGCAAAGCTATCTTCTGTGTCTATGAAAGAGGCTAAGAAACATTCCCACAGGTATGGTGGCGAGCTTATCTGAGGAATAAAATCCCATCATTTTGTATATATATATCAAAATGTCTTATAGTATTTATTTAATTTTAAAAACAGGTCACCGTTGATTCACCGTACAAAAGCAATTTTATTTAGAATTCGTTAAAACTAAACTGCTAGCTTAATTAAAGAAGTAAAACTATTTTAAATTAATTAGATCATTTATTTTGTTTTAAAATTTTCAAAGTTCAAAAATTTTAATCCTTACATGGAATCAAATGATAACCTGATAATTCGTATTGTTTCAAAACGATTAGATTGAGTAGTTTGCTGAAAATAAATATGACAGATGCATTGATGACTTTTATAATGATGAATATAAAATAACGTCTTTCTTCGGGTGATTTAAAATGTTTGCTTTCAAATGAATTGCTCATAAAGATAGAGAATTACTATTTTCTTTCTTTTTATGAAATGTAGTAAAATCATTTTCCTAATGTGAGGGAAATTCAAAAACAATACAACATAAAAAGATAGCATTCTTAAAAAGTTTTGTCTTTTCTTTTCGAATATAGCATGAACATTTAAACTTGAATTATAATCTTTGTAATTTTTGTTACAAACTAAAATGCATAAAAGTAAATTTTCAATAAATAAAAAAAATCTTATTCAATTTATATTATAAATATTATTTTACAAACTATAAGTCAGCCAACGTTGAAAAAATTGTTTATTTTTTATTGTATTTATTTATTTATTTTTATAGAACACTGCAAGCAAAATCAAATGAGTAACAATTTCCCGTAACTTTTTCTATACGTTAAAATACTAAAATGAATCAACAAATTTCAAATAAAAATTTTTAATCCCAACAATTATAAATATTATTTTATAAATCATTAGTCTGCCAATGACCGTAAAACGTTTTCACAATATTTTTTTAAAAATTATTTATTAATAATTTTCGACGTTTCTCATTAGTTAGCTGACATAGTTGAATTCTGGTGGTTAATACAAACCATAGTAAACTAAATTTAACTTCTTTGGAGGGGGGAGACGAAAAGCGGTTTATTAATTATGCTAATCATAGTTACTTTAATAATTATAAAAATTGGCACTTTTTATATTCGCACGCTCGCCATTAAAAGTCAAATACAGCACGCATAAGTTATGTAACTTAAGTTATATTTCATTTCAAACATAGACTAATATTACTTAAACCAACAATAATTATTACTTTAATTATGGTGTTTTAACAATTGGTTACTGTTATTTTTTAAGGTTTGATAAGTTAAGAACTTTAAAGAAAAGTTAAAGTAGAAAAACTGCAATAGGATTTTGTGATTATTTCTTACTTTTAAATATCTACTCGATATAAAAACAGAAGGATTTATATCGATGCGAGATTGTACTGGAACAGTTATACTGATTTTATTTTCATTTTCATGCCATTTTATGTACTTTTGCTGAATTATAATAGGCATTTTTGAAGAACATTAAAATCAAATCAACAATACTTTTTAAAGAATCGAAAGTAACAAAAAGTTTATTAGGTTGTCATGGTAATAAGATACAGCTTAAAGTTACAGTGAAAATAAAAGGAAGTGGTTTTGTGATAGTGCGATAACACTAGTAAGCATAATAAAATTTATATATTGTAGATTATTTTTTATACTAAACAAAAAATTTTTTCTCCAAAGATTTGAAGTAGTATACATTATTATGAAACAGTATTACGTTATCGAAAGGAGAATACAACTCAACTTCAAGTTCAAATCAAAGTTCATCACGAATTGCATGCAGAATTGGTTTTGTTTACTTGTTTCGTAAATCGTCTTCAAAGAAATTTTTTATGTTTCAGATATAATTAGCGGTAAATTATTCTTCCTTTGAAAAGAGGTTTATTCATTAAGAGTTTTTTTTATATGACATTGTTCTGATTGCAAATATATGTTGTATATCTAAATAATTTATTTCAATTAGTTATAAAAATTGCTATTCATTTACAGTTTGCACTTTAAAAATTATTTTAGATCAAACCTTTTACTCTCTAAATTTCTCCTTGATCTGAATAACAATTAATTTAGAGCATACTTATAATTGTAATAAATAAAAATAGTTAAGGATAGGAGAATTATTATATACTAGTATTTGTACCGGCACAATTTTTCATTTCTTTCCTTCCCTATTCTATGTCGTTTTTATGGATTAAAGCTTATTCCTGCTTGCACTATTATTCAAACTTTACATTTAGACAAAGTAATTGTATGTAAGGTTTTAATTCATTGAATTTATTGTTATAATATTATAGATAACTAGTACATTTCAAAATCGGTTCTAATGTTTTAAAACTTTATTCATTAATACAGAAAAAAATGAAATATACATTTAAGTATAACTGTGCCTACTTTTTAGATTTCTTGTAAAATGCCTGAAGAAATTAAAACATATTCTCTAGAGGAGATAGCAGCTCATTCAACTGAAGATTCTTTGTGGTTACTTATAGACAATGGCGTTTATGATGTTACACAGTTTAAGGATGAAGTAACTTTAATTAAATAATTTTTTTCTGTCTATTGATAAGTTGGGGACATTTCCTTATCGGTATCTGTTCGAGTCTACTGAAATCGCCAAAGCGCTTAAAAAATTTTATACTTAAAAAAAAGAAACATGTATTGGTTTTCCTGCAATTAGCTGTAAGTTATATCCTACTAGTTGGCCCCCTTCTCTGGTGTTCTTTTTAAGTTTTTTCCAGGTTACTGCCCGGTAGTTGTCGAAACTTGTTAATTGCTTTGGCATAGATACTGATACGGAAATCTTCCCAAATTGTTAGATACTATTCTGTTGCACGGGGCATAAAAAAAAAATTCAAACTTTTATTAATATCAATGATGTTTAATTAATTGTGGTGTGATAATGGGTGCTGTTGATGTTATTGGGATTTGATAGGTACTAGTGCCAGGGGTATTTCCATGTCTGTATTTTTTTATCCTTCTACCCTCGCCAACATGTTTTAATTTGCAAAAATTAAAAACAAAATGGGTTGGGATTTGTGATTATTTTAGCCTAGATGTCAATGTGGAAATATTCCCTTTGTACCAAGAATGCTAATTAAGATATTGTGGCAAGTTTATAGGCAAATTAGTACCAATGGTTTATTAATTGTAACTTTGAGTAGAATTGAATTTTTTTGTTAAAAATTTTTTAGGAATATGAAAATTAATTAACCAATACATTCCTCATTTTTAACACATGAAAGGTTTTCCATGCATGTTAATTTTTATACATACATGAAAAGTGATACTGTTCCATTTGACAACATAGGGCTTCGTGAAATACCTTTAAATTATTTGAATTTTAAATTCAAATTATATATTTTTTAATATGAAAACTTTAATACTTTAAGCATTTATTTGGTTATCGGGCTGTTATGAAAAGTAAATAATTAAGTTTGTAATATTTCAATTTTTAGTGTTCTTTTAGTAATATTTCAATTTTTATTGTTCTTTTAGTAATGTTTCAATTTTTAGTGTTCTTTTAGTAATACATATTTAAATTTTTAGTGTTCTTTTAGTAACATTTAAATTTTTAGTGTTCTTTTAGTAATATTTCAATTTTTAGTGTTCTTTAGTGTAATTTTCTAATTAATTTCACATCTTTCTGCCACTTGTGTACTGTCACTCATTGTTTGAAAATTGTATAATTAATGCTTTTATGATATGTGTTTCTGAGAAAATATATATTTTCTTTGTTGTTATTAAAATATTTATAATTTTCAAGGAAACTTTCAATAAAATAATTTTGAGTCCTATTTATTTCAAAAAGCTGTTTCATTAGACTGATTCCTAAAAATATTGCATAATTTATCTTTCTTTTTAGAAGAGGAAAGATAAAACAATTTGTCAAAGATTACCCTTTATAAAATCCATCATATTAATAAGGTGAGATGTTTAAGAGATGAAAATTAGAAAAACAATGACTTTTTAAATTTTGAAGTAATTGGGATAATATTCATTGTTAAGAGCAATGTTTCATTCCAGTTTTAAAGTTACCCTAAGTCAGTATTTCCCAAAGTGTGGTACGTGTACCCCCAGGGGTACGGGTTCTTACGCGAAATATCTTGCAACAAACGAAGATTTCAAAAAATTTAATTTCAAAACAAAGCTAGCCATGAAAATTTTCGATTATGTATTTTTCTATTGTCTATTTTTTGCAGAGTTAACGCTTAATAATTAGTGATGTCAACAGCCAGTTGTGATTTNTTTTACTAAATTCAAGTTGAAATTTTACTGTGGACAATGATTTTTTACAGATTTATGCTTTTTGTAATTTAGATAAAATTTTTAGCCCAAAATTTTACAATACCAAAATTATTTTTGAGTATATAGGGAAAAATATATAGAAATAAGTCATAAATGATATTTATTTGTAGTGACAATTTTTGAAAATATTTTCTTCCTTTACCATATTTTTGTGTTGATTTTTTAAATATAATTTTTTATTTGCACTAATTATGTCTAAATTTTCACAAGATAGGTACCTCTTAAAAAAACCCAGACAGATCAATGATTTTGCTCTTTCATAAACGACACACCTTTCCAAGAAAACAAATATTATTATCATTTCAAAAAAAGACTTTCTGATATTTTTCACTAGAGTTACATTATTTTTAATTTAACTTTTGTAACTTAGTGATAATAGTGCTTGAAAAGTTTTTAAAAAGTGCTTATTTTTGATTCAAAGATTTGGCTACGCACCCTGTTCCTTATCAGTATCTGTTCAAGTCTACTAAAATCGCTAAAGCGCTTAAAAATTTTTAAACTTTAAAAGAAACCTGTATTGGTTTTCCTGAGGTTAGCTATAAGTTATATCCTACTAATTGGCCTCCTTCTCTGATGTTCTTTTTTAGTTTTTTACAGGCTTTGGCAATACTGATACGGAAATCTTCCTAAATAGTTAGATACTATTCTGTTGCATGGGGCATAAAAGTGATTTGCCAAACTTTTATTGATATCAATGATGTTAATAAAACATCAATTAATTGTGTGTGATAATGGGTTGCTGTTGATATTGTTGTTATTTTATAGGTACTAGTGTCAGGACTATTTCCATGTCTGTATCTTTTCATCCTATAACTCTTACTAAAGTGTTTTAACTTTCAGAAATTAAAAATAAAAGGTGTTGGGATTTGTCCGGGGATGGCTAGTTGGTGCCCTTCTGTAATTTTTTTTTAGAATATTCCTTTAGTACCTAGAATGCTAATTAAGATACTGTGGTGATAAGAATTTTGGCAAAATAATATCAATGGTTTATTAATTGTAACTTAGAGTATGAATTTTATAGTTAAAATTTTTAGGGAATATGAAAATTAATCAACCAAAACAACCCTCATTTTTGACACATTTAAGGTTTTCCATGCATGTTAATTTTATATACATGCAATTGTATTTTGAAACATGAAAAGAAAAGTGGTGCCGTTCCATTTGACACCGTAGGGCTTCGTGGAATACCATTAAATTAGTTTTTTATAGTATTAAAACTTTAATATCGTAAAGATTTATTTGTTTATAGGGTTGATATAAAAAGTAAATAATAAAAATTTGTAATATTTAAATTTTTAGTGTAGTATTAGGGTGTCTATTTAATTCTACACCTTTCTGCCACTTGTGAACTATCACTCATTAATTGAAAATCATATTTCTGCTCTTTGAATGAAAATGAATTTATGCTCTTTTAATATGTGTTTCTGAAAAAATATGTTTTTTTCTTCGTTTTTATTAAAATATTAATATTTTTTCATGGAAACTCTCAATAAAATAATTTTGAATCCTATTTAATTCAAAAAACTGTTTTATTATCTGATTCATAAAAATATTGTACAATTTATCTTTCTTTTAAGAAGAGGAAAGATAAAACATTTTGTCAAAGATTACCCTTTATAAAATCCATCATATTTATTTATAGGGTGAGATGTTTAAGAGATGAAAATTAAAAAAGAATGACTTTTTAAATTTTGAAGTAATTAGAAAAATATTCATTGTTGCTAGCAATGTTTCATTCCGGTTTTAAAGTTACCCCAAGTAATGAAAATATCAAGTTCAAGATGCGCAAGCTAATCTTAATACTGTATAGTGAAACTTAGCAGAAATTGGCCTTTATAAAGTAACACTGTGCAAACCAATTGAGATATTCCTTTTAATTTATTTTACTAAATAGAAAAAAACGAAAGTGACCAATTAATCTTACAAATGTTCGTATGTTTTTTTTAGCATCCTGGAGGTCCAGAAGTTTTGCAAGATTGGGGAGGTAAACTTAATTTTGCTCTTAATCTTGTAGTAGTTGCAAATAGTATTTTGTTGTTTTAGTATGCTAAAATGCATTTACTGTGTGTATTATTCATTTGAAATGTAAAACAATTTATTCTATTCACAATGATATCTAACTAAAATTAAATAAGAATCTAATTTTTTTAATAGTTACACACTCTAAACACTGGAGTGACTGCTTAAAAATGAATTTTTACTAAGCAATTAAAAAAAAATTTATTGTTTTTTTTTCTTTTTTGCTTATTGATTATAAACATAAAAAATACATATATTTATTTATATAAATGCATGCATGCATTTCAATTTTTTTATGCTATCTCGGTAGGATATTGTAGTATGGTATACTACATATTAATTAAAATCATTTGTTAATTCTAATTTCATTATCTAATCATCTAATTTATTTAATCATCGTCATTCATCTAATTTAATAATCATTTGTTAATTGTTAATTTGTTAATAATGTAATAAACAGCTTAAATAATTGTAACTGTTAAATTTGTGATAAACTTTTAATTGTATGTTTTTTAATTTCTTCTTTTTACACTTGTAATTAATGTTATTTATTTATCAGTATTCAATAATTCCTTGCAATAATTTCATGTAGTATTTAAGTTTTAAGCCTCAATTTATTTTGTAACCTGGGGAAAGTAATCTTTCTCTGCATTTATGTTCTTCCTTTAAAAGAAGATTCCTCCTTTTGTTACTTCGCTGACAGCAAGATGTATGTCCAGTCAGCAAACCCCTTTGTTGGATTGAGAAGGAGTGACACCAAAGTCCATTTTCTCACGTTTCGGCTTGCATCAAATGCAAAGCGCCCCTTTTGATCTTATGATGGCGCCAAGAATGTTCCAGAACATTCCACAAAATTCTATTCCAGGTGTGTCACCACTTTTGACAACCCTGCTTCATGTTTGGCATAGAGCTTAACAATTAATTTCGCCAGTTGGCCAATATTTGCAGCTCTGTGATTTGCCCCTCTGATCTTTCTCCGTCCAACCAATGCGATATTCGTAAATTTTTTTTGGCGAGTTTTTTCTTGCCTATCTTCATAACGGAGAAACAGGCAATTGTGGCTTTTTCCCCCTGTTGAAGTGTTTGTTTGTTTATCGGCTTAGGCCGAGTTTTTTTTTGGTTGGCATGTTTGCCAATGTGTTGATAGTACAAAATATGTTAAATTTGTAATAAATAATTAGCATCCTTTACTATGGGTATGGTGAGTTACTTTATTATGTAAGTTGTTTTCTCTTCCTTCCTTTTTTTCCAGCATGTTCCTAGGTTGCACTTACCTGAACCATTGCATCATACAATCGTAATGTACCCCACTATCATCTTTTTCGGCCTTTACATAATTAGTTTCTAAATTTTATTTAATCTTAAGTCGACTTAATGTTAGTCACCCCCCTTTTTGATTTAGCCACACCACAGATATTATTTTGTAAAAGATTGTTGCATAACTTTTCTAATGTAAGGAATATATTAATATAAAGAAATTGGTGTATTATTTTAATTCTATGGTGTCTAATAAGTAATAGTAAGGTTTGATATTTTTTTATTTACCAAAAAATATTGCTAGCCCTTAAAGGTGCTTTTTTCATTTGGTGTTTTTAGAAAGTGCTTAATTTCCCCTTTTCGAAAATGAAATTTTTTCTTTACCATGTCAATTTTCCTCACATATTATGCAAAAGCGTGCTTTTCGTATTGTTCTATTCAACGTTTTCACAATTCATTCAACTACAATCTATTTCAGCGTAGCGTCGATCCATAGCATATGAGAGCGCTAGTCTTTTGCAGGTTTGATTAAATACTTGAGAGTTCCCATGTGCATATAGAGAACTGGGTTCGGTGAGATTATTGCTCTCTCATGTGCATTTCTACTGCATTTTGCAAGATATTCTCAATTTCAAGCTTCATTTTCCACTTTTTAAAATCGAACCGAAAAATCTCATGATCATTTTTTAATGGCTAATATAATCAAGAAAAGAGTTCTTTGTCAAAAACTAGTTATTTTATCATGATCATGTAAAGTCTTTGAGAACTATTTTGCATTTTGTTCCCGTATATAGAGCTTAAAAATATTTTGAGTGCTTAAAAAGTACTTAAAAGGTGCTTATTTTTTGTTGAAAAAATTGGCTATGCACCCTGGATTTAAAAATTTACTATTTAAAATTTTCGCGATCTTGTAGGTTTTTGACGTGCCAAAAACCTAAACCATGCAGGGGTGCCACTCTTTTATGCTGAGAACCGAATTCCGTTTTGGTTAAAATATCAAAATCCAAGAAATCAATTTTAAAAAATATGATATGTACTAATAAAAAAATTTCACAATAAAAAAAAATTTTACTCATTTTTTGCAGTGTATTATTAATATAGTAATTGTAAATTTCTATTGTTTAGGGTGCTTTGTTTTTTATTAACAAATCCATAGCATTCCTGGTTAATAAGAATTGTTTAATGTTAGTAAAATTAAGACTATTTAATAAAAATTCTTAAAATCATATTTAATTTACTGTTATTGTATAACTATTCTGGAAAGTCAATTGTTATATATTTTTTTTAAATATTGATGCGAGAAGTATTATCATTTATACACTTATTATAATGTTCAAGAGTGACATTTGATCGCATTACAGAACTGTCAAAAATGTATAGGTAAATTTCAGTCCTATTATTTAAAAGCTGCACCCCTGACTATGTTCCAAACTGAGAACAAAGTCACTTACCCAACTCTATTGAGTTTTTATTTTATTTTTTAAACATGTGAGGGACATTTTAGCACTTAAAAATTTAAATGTTCTTTATGATTTGTTTATAGTTGGTTATTAGCCATTAAATATCTTTGTCAAGTTATTAATATTGCTTTTTTATTGATAAAATTATTTTAAAGGCAAGGAAGCTACAGAAGCCTTTGAAGATGTTGGACATTCTTCAGATGCAAAAAGTCAATTGAAACAATATAAAATAGGAGAATTATGTNACGGTTTAAACCAGTATTATACCCTTGTCATGTCAAAAACCACTTTTTGACGTCAAAAACCCAACCCTGATTTTAATTAATAATAAGAATAGACTGTTTGTTATGAATCAGTTCAATATTTTTTTACAGATCTAAGATTTTCTACTCTTACATACATTAATTTAGAGAATTTGAAATCAAAGTTTTATGTTCATTTTTCTGTTCTTATATAATTAATCAATTTTCTATTTCTATCATCTGCGCAAAAACTACATACTTGTTAAATAAAAGCTGGTAATAGAAATTTGCGTTTTACTTGTTAAGCATGTAAGGGTTATTTCTACATTTGTTGAATTATATTTTAAAAAATATCTCCTTAAGTCATTGAAATTCTTGGATTAATAAATATATAATGATATGAACATTAGTTGCTTATTATAGTTTTTCATTTTCAAATTATTATATTTTACATGCTTTATTGCCATGAGATCTTTCAGTTTTCTGAATATCGAACTATATTTTCTTTATTATTATAGTGAATAAACATAAATTTAAAATAAGAAAAACACCAGGATAACAGGGAAGAAGTGAGATTAATTTTTTAATTGCATTCATTGGCTTGAGTTATTAATAAACTTATTGCCTCAGCTGATTTTTTTTCATCGTTTTTATATGCATATTTAGTGTTTTTCTATTCCTATAATAAGGTAAAAATTCAATTAAATTTCTGTTGAATTGAAAAAATTTTTTAAAATAATTTTCATTTTCTTTCAGGCAGATAGAAAAGCAAAAAAGGTAAGTAATCTATATTTGAAACCTTTACTTAATATAGTCATATTTGGTCAGTATGAGGAGTAAAAAATTGGAAATTTAAATCATTTACTAGTTATTATTTTTAATGTCTAAACTCAGATATCTATTAGGTAGTTTTTTCTTATTATTATTTGTTGTTTCGATTTGGCTTCATCCATATAAAGTTAATTAACTTCTTAATTAATTACTTGTATTTATCTGAAATTTTAGAAATTTATAAATAATGTGTTAGACGAGAAATGAAAGCACTTTCATAGGCATAACATAAAATTTGTTCTTTATCTATTAACAATAGTAGTTTATGTATAGAATATGTATGTTATGCATAGTGTACAGTTAATGAAAAATATCTACATATTTTACATTTTTGTAATGAAATTTCTGAACTAATAATAAAATAATTTGTGTCCACTTTGAGTTTACATTAACAGAGTTGACAATATAGTTTTATTTTGTTATTTGGCCTGTTATTTGTTCAGTATACAAAAACATCCTGAACAAGTTTTAATCTAAATGTCAGATTTTCATGTACTGGGACTCAATAGTTAAAAAACCTAACCTTTATGCTAATTAACTTGTATAAAAGATATTTTAAGTTATAAAATCAGGCACAAAAAACACACTTTCCTTGAATTAACATATGTTTTTTCAACCAATTTTTCTTAACTCTCAAAACATGTGGGCAGCGATAATCTGGAAAATTTGATCGTGGATTTGAAAAGAGATTGAATGTTTGAGTCTTAATACGTTAATTTCGTTTTTTGCATACTTCTTTACTTCACCACATTAAAAAAGTAATGTTTTTACATTTTGATTCCCCAAAAGCTATTAAAAATCAATTTCTTTAAAATTTTGGATTTTGTCATTTAAACTTTTGTACATTAAATTGAGGTAAAAATAGATATACAATTCAAAGTTTGTTCCATTCTTTCTTAACTAATAAGTGATTATAAAAAGTAAGTTTTTAAAAGCAATTATCTTTAAATTAACAAATTTTACAATTGTTTGCGAAGTTTTTTTTTTAACTCAAATCATTAGTTCAGAGTTGGGGCAAAATATGTAAAAAAGGAAATTAAATTACGAAGTCTTAGCTTTTGCCATATTTTCCAGGGAACCATATTTTTCAGTCTCCATATTTTGAGGCTCAAGAATCCAAACCTGCTGAAAAAAAAGTTGTGTTTATCCAGAGAAAGTATATTTTTGTGTTCGATTTTGTAATTTAAAATATCAATTGCACTAAATAAGTATCATATTTAAATTTAGGCACTTAAACCTAGTGCATGAGAATCTGACCTTTAGATCAAGTATTATTTAGGGGGTTTATTATTTTGTGCACTATACATATTAAAATTTATTATAAATTAAAATACTATTTAAGTCTTGTTTTAAATTATTTTTAGGCTCCTGGTACAAGTAGCTGGTAAGTCTCACAAATAACTTTTTAATTGTTCCTTTTCCTTTTTTTATGTTGTCTTATTATTTATTGTTTATGAAATAATGTATATATTTGTAGCATCAATAAATTTAGAGTTTGAACCTAAACTCATTACACTCTTTACATTTTACAAATACAATTTGTATGCTTATTAATTATAATTTTAAGGCTCGTTAAAGATTATTCTATGAAAATAATTAAACCACACATTACACAATTTACTAAACTTTATTAAATTAATAAATGCCATAGAAATATTAAAACCTTTGCAAAAAGAGCATTTTAAAATATATGGGCTAAACATTTGTATTTCACTCACAAATATTAGGGTTAGAAAATTCATCATTATCCATCCTTGTGACATTAATATCGTGACAATGTGTCTGTAAATGTTGTGATCATGCTTAATTTTAAGAGTAAGAATATTAATGCTTTAACAGTTGGGCTGAAAAGTTCGTAGGCTGACACATAGATGGAGCTACTATTATTAAATACGTATGATTTTTAGTTAGTTCTAACCTTTGAAAGACACGTGTATAAATTTGACAGCTGTCGGACTATTAGTTTGTGAGATATAGTAATTTTAGTGAAGCAACTTTTGTTAGTTTAAGAACAATGGATAAAAAGGAATTTCGTGTGTTTTTAAAGCATTGTTTTTAGCGAAAAAAAATACTCTTGAAGCCAAGGCTCGGCTTGGGAAACATTATTCGGACTCTGTACCAGGAAAATCAACCATTGAGAAGTGGTTGGAAGTTTAAACGAGGCGAAATGAGCACCGACGGCGATGCAAACAGTAGTCGCCCCAAAGAGGCTGTTACCGACGAAAACATCACAAAAGTCCACAAAATAATTTTAGATTACCGTAAAGTGAAGTGGATCAAAATATCTGAGACTCTAAAGATATCAAAGGAACGTGTTGAACACATCGTGAATGAATATTTAGGTATATGAAAGCTCTAGGCAAAGTGGGTGCCGCACGAGCTCCCAATTGGACAAAAATAACAACGAATTGGTGATTTTGAGCTGTTTTTGAAGCTGTTTAATCGTAATAAACCCGAATTTATGCGTCAATATGGTACAATGGGTGAAACATGGATCCATAATTTCACACCAGGAGTCCAACCGACCGTCAGCCGAGTGAACTGCACGAGACGAACCAACTTCAAAGCGGGGAAAGGCGCAACAGTCAGCTGGCAAAGTTTTCGTCAGTATTTTGGGATGCTCATGGTATAATATTCATTGACTATCTTGAAAAGGGAAAAATCATCTACAGCGACTATTTCATAGCGTTATTGGAGCATTTGAACTACGAAATCGCAGAAAAACGGCCCCATTTGAAAAATAAGAAAGTGCTGTTTCATCAAGACAAAGCACCAGGTCACAAGTCAATTAAAACGATGGCAAAATTATATGAATTGGTCTTCGAATTGCTTCTGCATCCACCGTATTCTCCAGATCTGGTCCCCAGTGACTTTTTCCTGTTCTCAGACCTCAAGAGAATGCTTGCTGGAAAGAAATATGGCGCCGATGATGAAGTAATCACTGAAACAAAGGCCTATTTTGAGGCTAAAGACAAATTGTACTATAAAAATGGTATCGTTATAATCGTTGACCACTATAATCGTTGTATCGCCCTTCAAGGAAGCTATATTGAATAATAAAATGGAATTTTATCAAAAAAAATTTTTTTCCAAGTTAGCCTACAAACTTTTCAGCCCAACTGTTAATTGTCTCCCTCTTTTATTGAACAAAATTTTTCATATTTGTGTTCAGAGGAATTGAAAAATTTTTTATTCCTTCATAAATGTAAATTTATTTTGAAATGAATTAAATACAGAATTATATATATATTACATTGCGCAATATTGTATGATTTTGTTAAATTATTATACATATTTTTAAACAATATCATTACTGTGTTTCATTGGTCCTACAGTTTAACTGTTTTTAAAATATACTTAAACTTTTAATATCAAAATAAACTAATGCATGTTTGCTAAAAGTTTTTTTTTTTTATACAGAAAACAATAAGAGAAAGAATCATTCAAATAGTGTAAAAACTAGACTTAGTAGAGAAATTTTTTTTTATCACTTGAATTCTTTGAAGCAGCTAATTAAAATAAAATTAAAACAATTAAAGTGAACAAAAAATGATTAAAGAGCATGCTATTAACTCTCAAAGTAATTTCTTTGTTTGATTAGAGTTGTAAGGTCGCGAAAATTAAATGTTAATCCTGATGTAACCATTTTTAAACATCTGAAAACAAAACTTTTGCATTTTAATTTAAATAATGGCCTTCATATCTACACTATAAAAAATGTCTTTCATGTGTGTTTGTTCATAAATGGCTGGTTTAAGAATGCTTCAAAGCAGGTAATGAGAACAGCTGTGTTATTGAAAAATAGCAGTGACTTAAATTAAGTTAACAGCCACTCATTTTTTCCCATTGGTGTTCTTTTTTTCTCCCTTTTTTTAGAAACTATTTTAATGATAAAAGTTTATCACCCTAGAAAGCGACTCTCAGAAACCAAATTTTCATTAAAATGTCCAATGTCTCCATTCAAAATTTTGATCCTTTAGAATCCATTAATTAGTGGAGGAAAGATTCATGTGAAGCAAGAGTTTTTTTAAACAATTCATATATTTCAAAGTTATAGTAATGTATACATCAAATGTATTTTGCGATTCTAAATACTTTTAAAAAAAAGTTCTTTAATGTCAGTACGTTTTCAACTGAATTTTGTGGTGGATTTATATTATTTTTATTGTTGAATTAAGTTTTTATTACCAAATATTACTTCTAATTTGAATTTTTATTATTTTTTTTAAAAATAGTTTAATTTAACAAAAGTGAAAAAATAGAAAAGAAAAGGCTTTTAAATCAAAAAGACTTATTGTTTTTTGTCACCAATGTATTTATTATGTTTGAAGAAAAAGTGGTTACTAAGTTATTAGAGTCTACCAGTCACAAGCCACTTTCTGAAAAATTTAAATTTTCAAGTCTACATGCACCAATTTTGATCCAAATTGGTTCGAATTGTGGATTTGTATGAGGAACATGCAAGCATTGATTTGCAATTACTTAGATGTCTCAAATATTTTTATGCAAACAAATTTTATTTTATGACTAAACCTTTAATTATGTCACATTAGATACTATAGCCTTAAAGAATTAAGTAAATTTTGTTTCTCTTTTTAATTATCTATCAACCCTTTAACAAAGTATAAAATATATATAATATCCAATTTACTCTGGTCAATAGTAAATACACACATAGGAAATTAATTTGTATTACATTATTTATAACAATTATACATATTTAGTCTTAATCGTTCTTTTGAGAATTATTCATATTATCAGGTGTGTTCTTCTGTAATTATTGATGATGGCCCTCCCTTCTTCAGCTTTCGGATGCGCTATTTTCTTCCCGTGGGTGTTGCTGTGATGGCATTTCTGGTGTATGGCATGTACAAGCGCCTCAACAAATAATTCAATTTCTTCCTCACTGGAGCACTTAACCATTCAATGTTCTGATCATGTTAAATGGCATGTATTGTAATTTATGGATGTTCACTTATCGGTTAATAAATATGATGACACTGCCATGTAATTCCGGTAATTTTTTTATGTTTATGATTTTGTATTAGTAATTATAATTATTTATATTTTTGTATGTAATTTAACTTTGATTGAGATATTTTGCTGCTATTTCATTTTAAAAATAAAAGTATTCTAACTGTAGTATATCGTGTTAAAACATGTTAGTATGTATGTATGCTTAAGTTTTTTGGCTTTTTTTTTCAGAACTGAATTATTATTGGAAAGTGAATTAAGTTTTCTCTTTTTAAAATCATAATTCTTTTGTAAATTTATAAAAATTTTGTAAAAAAATAATGATTGAAATGTATTATGATTGTTAGGTGTAAATTTGAAAAAAGTTTTTCTAACAACAAATGTTATCTGTTATTAATTATATCTATGTATCACAAAAAATAATTGCAAATAGATGTAGAAAAAAGAAGGAAAGATTTGACTTGAATTTATCAAGTTTTCACATTATTCATGTTGCCAAATTCTACTTTGTTTAGTTTCATTTTTGTTATGTATATAAAGAAACTATAGTAATAGGGTTTGAAAAAAAATTCAGTATTCTATTATGACTAATTACTTAGTTTTTGTTTGAGAAAAACTTTAAGCAATAACAAGCTATAATCTACAGCTTGATAAACTTGGAGCACATTTAATTATTATTATTTTTTTTTTTTTTGAAAAAAAGTTTATGAATGATTTAAAAATAAATTTTTTTAAATGTAAATTTGATATTGTAAGCAGACATGTTATAAAAAGTTTTCAAGGTGATTAAATTATTGTAGTTGATAAATGACTTTAAAATCACTGTTTCCATGCTGTTATTTTAGATTAATGAAACTATTCTGCATCTATATAAAATTATTTTAGAAATCCTTCTTGAATTTTAATATATATTACATTATTAACTCAATGTAATTTACACATTTTCTTTTGTATCAGTTCAATCTAAAAACAATCTATTGTTTTTTTAAATTTTTAAAAATTAATTTTCTTAAATGATAATATTTTTTAGATTTAAAAAATTATATAAAAAATAATTTACAAGAATTCTTGATTTTTGCAGTCCAAAGATCTTTGTGTGTTAATTTCTATTGCAATACAAATACAATCACTTTCTACTTTTTATTACAGTTGCAAAACTTTACACCATGTTAAAAATATGCAATTTGAAGCGATTGATGGTAAACTCATGTATTAACATAAAATATAAACATAAATAGCATATTTAGTATTACTTTTGAAGAAAATTAACAGATTAAAAAAGATGGCACAGTCTAAACGTACAGCTTTGATTCAAGCATTTTTGCTTTAAAACATTCGATAGATAAATAGAGAATGATGCTTTTAAGTTTGAGTATAAAGATTTTTGTTAATAGTTTGAAAATATTTATCTTAAAAGTAGAAAATTAACCAGGAAATTTTTTCTATAGATATTTAAACTTAAGCAATACTGTCTACCATTTTTCCTGCTATATTTATGTGATATTTTTAGCATTAGTACATAGAACTACTGCAATATTACTATTACAATTATTTTCATGAGCTTAAAATCAAACTTCCAAAAATAATGGTATGCTAAAACATTCCTGATCTATGTATATTGTTATATTTTCAATAGATTAGTTGTTTCTTGTAGTTTTTTTTTTTTTGGAAGAAGCTGAAAAATAAATATTAATAATTTTGTATATTTTAATGATAAGATTACTACCACTAATTTTTACAAGGATTTATTCTTAAGTAGAAACAGATATTTGATTATGCATGTTGTGATAAAAAAGTTTCCCTTTTGAGGGCTGTACATTCCAGATTTGGTACAGCATTCATGCAGAATTATCGTGAACATTTAGGTAATCATTCCATTGCTTTAAATATTTTAGGGGGAGCAAAAAGTAAAGTACTTGTACCCCTAATACTTGTTTGGTAAAACACTTTTTTTCCCCAACTGCCTTAATGAAGTCCAAAATTGCATGATGCATATCTACATTAATCGAACTCTTAAGGATTTTTGGTGCGCAAAAAAATTGGAAAATTGCAGGAGAGGAAAATAGGAATGTTAGACAAGTGTTGGAGTGCTCCGAAGAATGTATAACAGTCTTTTGGTCCTGTTTGGACACATTTACTCTCAATTGCTGCTGTTAATATTTCAGCATTTTTCACACACACACATTTCCAAAACAAACGAATTAAACCCTAATCCATGTGTAGATGCTGTTTGTTATATATGCATTCATTTGCAAATTTCTACAGCCACACCTTCCAACGGAAATGTTTTGATCAAGTCTATAGATTTGCAATGTAAAAATGTGATACATTTGATTTATCATATGACTTGTTTGTTAATGTATGTGCTTCATATATATTTGCTTTCAGAAAGTCATTTCAATCCTCTAGTGGTTTCAATTTGGAAAATGTACTAATTTGAAGGGAAGTCTTTTCTATACACTTTTCCTATCTGACATTAAACCAAATCTGTAATTTTTCATCAACAAGAAAAAAAAATTTTAATAAAAAATTACAAATATGGGTTAATGTTACTTGCTCCATTTTTTGTCTTATAATGCAAAAAAAAAGATAGCAAAAAGTTATTTTTTATGTTTTTAACCACAGAATTAAATTTCATAGTTGATATTTTCTATGTTTTGTGTTTCAGTAGCAAAAGTAAATGGATATTAAAACATTATTATTTTAAAACTGTCTTACCATTTAAGTTAGTTCTAAATGGTTTGATACATTGTTGATTCCTATTTTTTGCTGTTGATATTTCTTTTTAAAAAATTCTTGATGAAATAATTTAAAAAAAAACTTTTTCTGGTAAATGGTAAACAATTATGTTTACTAGCTTAAAGGATCAGAATTTATGTTTATGTATAGAATGTTTTAACTAATGATAGAAAGTTTATACCTTAATATTTTCAAAAATAAAATTCTTTTATTTCATGTTTTAATTTTTCCCCCCAACATTGTGTTTAATTTTATAACTAATGTAATCTCTGTGATAAATATTTAATAAATCAAAAACATTTTAACAGTCTTTGCAGCTGTATTTTGTGAAATTTAATAAAAATACTATGCCAATTAACATTATTACTTCATTTTTAAGTCTTTTGATTTCATACAGTACATACAATCCCTGATTTGGGGTATGTCATTCTACAATCACGTTTTTTTGTATTTTTNCTTTTTCTGGTAAATGGTAAACAATTATGTTTACTAGCTTAAAGGATCAGAATTTATGTTTATGTATAGAATGTTTTAACTAATGATAGAAAGTTTATACCTTAATATTTTCAAAAATAAAATTCTTTTATTTCATGTTTTAATTTTTTTCCCCCCAACATTGTGTTTAATTATACAGCTAATGTAATCTCTGTGATAAATTTTTAATAAATCAAAAACATTTTAACAGTCTTTGCAGCTGTATTTTGTGAAATTTAATAAAAATATTATACCAATTAACTTTATTACTTCATTTTTAAATCTTTTGATTTCATACAGTACATAAAATCCCTGATTTGGAGTATGTCAGTCTACAAGCACGTTTTTTTTTCTTCCTTTTTTTTCTTTTTCTTTTTAATGAACATTTTGTCCTAACTTAACATAGCCACATATTTTAAAAATACTTTTTTAATAAAAGGGGAGAGGCAATTTGGCACCTTGAATTACTATTATTTGTAAAAAAAAATTTCAAAAAAGAAATTGAAAGCAGGGCAGAAATATAAATGCTCAAAGCAGAAAATTTAGCAGTAGTGACTGGGAAAAGCACACTTGTGAGCTTCTTAGGTTTCTGAATTCCACTAGAAATATCTGAATCTTAATTCTGCATATTTATTTTTAATGTAATGCAAAACTGAGATCTTGTCTATTCAGCAGTTTTACCTTTTACATATCTATTTTTTTAAATACCTCTTCTGGAAATGCTGTTACATATATTGACTTTTATTATAAAAATTTTATTCTTTACAGCCAGAGCTTTCAATTGTTTTCTTATTTGCTTTATTGTTTTCAAAAAATTCTTATTTGAAGAATGCTAAGATTAAACTATCGGAATTCAAAAATATTTAATATGATTATACATAGAAAATTCAATTCTGTACTTAAAAGGTACTTCTGTTCAATTCAGTACTACATATCTCAAAAAATGCCTATCAAATCAAAATTTTAAAAATTCCCGAATGAAATATTTTTTAAAAGACGCATTCACTGATTCTTAACTGATTTATCGTTTTGTAGGGCCATTTTGAGTATGAAGTTAAATTAACTAGTAAGATGGCTTAACATAGTTGTTTGGTAATCCTTCAATCAATTAGTATAAAACTTTCAAAGTAACCAGAATTTTCCGAGAAAGCTGTAATTAATTTGAAATGAACTAAATAAACTAATACAGTTTGAGTTGCTGTATCCAGAATTTTAGTATTTTTCAACAAAGCAGTGAAATTGCCAAAATTTTGAAAATATGTATCCGAACCAATCCCATTTGTGATTAACTCTTCCTACGGAAGTCTATTCTGGAGTGTGGAAAATAGTGTTAAAAATTTATCTAAATTAATATAAAATTTTAAAGCGGTTAGCTACTAAAATAGCAGTCAAATATAAATGTGTATAAGTTTTTAATCTGTTGGTTTTTTTTAGAAAATAATTTCGTTTTTTCTATATGAAAACGAAGGACGGTTTTCTTACAGTGAAGAAACATTTTATTGAATTGTTTGCCATCTTTCTGCCTGTAGCATGATTTTTAACTTATAAATTTTTTGTCCTTTACTGGCAAAACTTATTTAAGGGATTTTTGACTTCTTTTGAAGTATCCTTTATTATGTCTTCATCAGCCTAAACTGGCTTAGTGCATCTTAATCGAAATTTTGGCGGCACGAAATCTCGTAAAACAGTTTTGACACTGGCGTGCTGTTAATACATCTCCATACACATCGGATAATTTTTCTTTTCTTACTTGAACAACATTTTTGCATTTTCGTTAGTAAAAAAGTAAAGTATGTCGAAAATGCTGCTTTGAACTTTCTTAATATTAAAAAGGCACGAAAAAAAAAAAAAAAAAAACGGCTTAGAATCTATCAAAATTTTTTCGCGAGTAATCCTTCCTATATTAGGGGGCCGAGCGGTATCGCCGGTCCAAACGCTCTGTTAAGCGAGGAGGGAGCTGTCGAATCCCGCCGTAACCCTGGATGTATTCTTTGTGATGTCTTTCTCTGAATTGTTCTATCTGTATTTTCTACTTGACAATGACTTATAAGCCTATATTGAGCACACAAGTCAGCAAATGTATGTAATTTCAATAAAATAAATCCTATATTAGCTTTCAAAATTTGTTGTTGTTGTTCCTCATCCTCCAATTGTCTGACGGCGTCAGACAAGATGTTGTTGACCCTCAAAAAGCTTTCAAAATTTATTATAATTAAATGACTTAACACTGTTCTTTTGAAGCTCTGTCGCCAAGGGTAATAAATAAGTCATAGTTTAAGTGCCTTACACTTGAAGCAATGCGATGATTTTAAACTACATATTTAATCTTGCCATGAAAAATTATCTGGGCTTTAGAACAGACCAATAACTTAAATATTTAATTTTTATCAAACTTTTTTAAAACTGCTAATTTGGCGACATTTTCCCACCTAGATGAAAATTATCAAAATCACTGCCGCGTTCTCAGTTTTTGCAAATTTTTATGAGCCCAGGTAATGCAGCCTTGGAGTAAGTTTTTAAATATTAAAAAATTAGACCACAAGCGCTTTTCATTTATACTAAACTGTGGCTTTTCTCCATATTGACGTTAGCGATATTTGCAAAATAAGCTAGACCATGCTGGCTTTAGATAGGCTAAACTTGACCTGACAGTAATGAGTAGCAGTTGCTAACAGCAGTTTTAAAAACAGCATATTATTTGCAAAAAAGCATAATTTCATATTACGAAGGAGCCTTCGAAAGTTGGGTGTAAAAAAATACGAAATTACTTTCCGAACAACCCAATATAAAATATGGTATGGTTGACTGAAATGCCTTATCTCTTGATACTTAATGTTAGTGGCAAAATTGATTATTTTTTTCTGATTTTATTTTAAAGTATATTCTACCATTAAATTTGTATTGGTTAAATTCTATGCCTTGCTTCACTATGTCATTTTGTTTAGGGTTTCTTTCTATCATATTCAGTGACTGCCAACTGCTTATCGTAATTTAAGTTCAAAAATTTCTTTATACTCTTTAAATTGATTTAGTTTTTTAGTGTCTTTGTGCCGAAACATTCTTTTGTTCTCAGAATCGCCTTATCTTTTTTCTCCTAATATAGTTTTAAAAATAGTTTTCCAAAAATAGTTTTTTGACCACTTACAATTTGTATACACGAATAAATTTTAATTGTCTTAGCTCTTCAGGGGTTTTGAAGGAGTACTTTTTTTTAAGCTTTTTCTTTTTAGGTTTGTAAGAGTTCAATTATAGTTCAACTTGTGAAAAATTACTAAATAACCTAGTAACCTTGAAGTTAAGTAATCTGATAATCATCAAGATTTTATTACTTTTTTTATTTATTTATTGTTGGATATTTTTTGTATACTGAAGATATCTTTCCTGACGGGTAGGGTATGGATAGCTAAATAACTATAGTTATTTAGCTATCCATACCTGTTATATATAGCAGTAATCATCTTTATCTTACATCGTTTAATTTTATTAATTCTTGAACTTAAGAGTACTGCAAATAAAGTTCAGTATGCGCTCTAATTTATCAAATCATCAACCATATTTTTTATCGCAAAAAAAAAAAAAAAAAAAAAAAAAAANAAAAAAAAAAAAAAAAAAAAAAAAAAACAGTTCTAGCTAAACGTTTATCTAAATTTACTAATTCTTATTTATGTCTCTACGTACGAAAAATATACACTTTTCACCTTTAAAAAATTGTTTTCTGGACTGCATTCTATTTCCAGAGGTATTCATTTATTTATAATAAAAATTACTACATATTTAACCCGGTATTTAGATTTTAAACGTGATTTTCACGACTATATCTTTACAGAAAATGACTGAAACATAATTTTTCTGTTGTGAATTAACGTTATTTTTTTTAAAATGATATTTTTAAAAAAAATGTGTAAAACCTGTAAATTTATCATATTTTTAAAACTTAATTTTTTTGCTTTCAAATAAACTAGAATCAAAATTCAAAAAGGAAAAATTGTTGATTAAACCACGCATCAACATAACACCCAAGTTTTTGGCTCAAATTCTAACAATGTTCATAGTAGACGAAATATACAATGGTCCTGATTTCGGTAAAATTGCTGAAATCTATGTATTCCTTTAGAAAGAAAAGTAGTATTTTATTTATTTATTTTGTTTAGTCATTTTTGAAGGACAAACTATTGTATGTTTGCCTTATTGTAGACACAATATAACATAAAGCAATTTTTTATTTATTAATATTTTTTATTGATAGAGTTTGTCATTTTTATAAGGGTGTTCAACTTGTAGATAACAATTCAATTGCTTACAAATAGTTATTTCGATATACAATACGAAATAAATTTAGATTAAGTATTTTTTTTTCTTTTTTCCTTCGCCTAGAAAAGCGTTTATTGATAGTTTGAAATACCTTTTTCCTTATAAATAATACTTAATAGTATTGACTTTTCCGATTTCTTTCTCTGTTTCGTTGTAATTTTTTTTAATTCTACTTGTTGGTGTCTAATTGGATATTTGTGGTGTTTAATTAAACTTTGAACATTATATCTTTAAGACAGGTTTTTTTTTTTTTATAACCATCGTTGAACAGCCGACCCAATTTTATGGGTTTACGACTACTATTGTTCAACTCCATTGTCTTGTAATTTTGAACCCAATCCAAAAGACAAGGGGAACTTCTGGATCAAGTAGTGGGAGAAATTTGCCTTCGTGGAGGACTTTTGATGGAGCTAACTCGCATTTGAAGACCACGAGA